GCCCGGCTCATTTTAATTTATTGTAGAGATGAGGTCTCGCCAAGTTGCCCAGGCAGGTCTCGAACCCGCGGTCTCAGGCAATCCACTCACCTCAGCCTCCCAAAGACGCGGGATTACAGGCTGAGCCACCAAGCCTGGCTAAACGTTGTATATTTAGATAGGGTTTTAACTTGGATTATTTTTTAGACTTACTCTAAATCAATAAGAAAAAGACAAACAGCCCAATAAAAAATTGTCATATGTATATATGTACAGAACTACAGAGATAAAGGTCTGGATACCCACCAAACTATTAAAAGATGCCTATCACTGGGGAGGGAGTGATTTTTGAGCGAGTACTGCTATATGGCTTGAATGTTTATATCAAAATATATTTATTTATTTGGTAGTTTTTAAATTTTTTAATACAAATAACTAATTTAACTGACTTTTTTTTAAGTTAAATATTTTGGCTCAGATTGTGCACTTCTCCACAGATATCTGCCAACATTACCATTTGTGGAAGGGATCTTTGTGAAATAGATTGACTATGTATATTAGTCCTTTTTAACATTCTAATTCTATGATAACAATTAATTTTTTTGAGATGTAGAGTCCCCCCAAAAATTTACCAAGTGTTAAGTCATGTATTTGAGTCATGAAAATAAAAGAAAAAAATTTTCTAAGTGGTTCTTTCTGTGTTGGGGCCTGTGTAGGGCCAGGGCCTCAGGAGTCAGACTCTGATGACCTGGATGAGGAAGACTTTGAATGTTTAGACAGTGATGATGACTTGGACCTCGAAACTCAAAAGCCTGGTGAAGAGGCTTCTCTGAAAGGAACTCTTGATAATCTCAAGTCATATATGGCCCAGATGGACCAGGAACTGGCACACACCTGCATTGGCAAAAGTTTCACCACCCGGAAGCAAGTGGTATGTGCATTTTTAATCCTTTCCCTTTCTGAGTTTATTATGTCAGATAGCTAAAATTATTTTTTCTCTTAGTTTTTCTTTTTTTAATTTATGAGATTTGAAAATAAAAATGCTAATTTTTTCCTAACTCTGATAGAATGAAAGATTATAAATTTTATTTTCCTAAACATAAGCTTCATTAGATTACTTATTCTGTGTTATCTATCAGGATTTAAAATAAGTAGTCAGGCAGGCACAATGCTTATACTTGTAATCCCAGCATTTTATGAGGCCAAGGAAGAATCACTTGAGCCCAGAAGTGAATGACCAGCCTGGGTAACATAACGAGACTGTGCCTCTACAAAAAGTAAAAAAAAAAAAAAGCTGGACATGGTGGCCTGTGCCTGCAGTCCCAACTGCATGGTAGGCTTAGGCAGGAGGATAACTCAAGCCCAATATTTCGGTGTAACAGTGAGCCATGATCAAGCCACTGTACTCCAGCCTGGGCAACAGACCAAACACCTGTTTCTTTAAAAAAAAAAAAAAAAAAGGGTCCGGGCTCGGTGGCTCAGCCTGTAATCCCAGCACTTTGGAAGGCCGAGGCGAGTGGATTACCTGAGCCCGCAGGTTCAAAACCAGCCTGAGCAACTTGGTGAGACTTCATCTCTACAATAAACCAAAAATTAGCCAGGCGTGGAAGCGCACGCCTGTGGTTCCAGCTACTTGGTAAAGCTGAGGTGGAAGAATTGCTGGAACCCAGCAGGTGGACGCTGGGGTGGCCGTGAGTGTGCCACTGTACTCCAGCCTGGGCAACAAAGTGAGACTCCACCTCAAAAACAAACCAAAACAACAACAACAACAAAAATCTTGTAATCCCAGCACTTTGGGAGGTGGAGGCAAGAGGATTGCCTGAGCTTAGGGGTTCAAGACCAGCCTGGGCAACCTGGTGAGACCTTGTCTCTACAATAAATCAAAAACTTAGCCAGGTGTGGTGGCACATGCCTATAGTTCCAGCTACTTGGAAGGATCGCCTGAGCCCAGCAGGTCAAGGCTGGGGTAGCCATGAGTGTGCCACTGCACTCCAGCCTGGGCAACAGAGACTCTAACTCAAAAAAAAAAAGTCATATAATGTGCTCAAATTAGTATGTGATTGATTACACACTACTACTACTAACAGCATAGATGAGTTTTTTTAAAAAAGAGAATCTTAAATATCCAAATAATTTTCTAGTCTTTTTTTTCTTTTTTAATGATAATAATGGCAATAGGAACTTTCCAGTCTTAATACTTTGTTTCATATGTTTCTCTAACTTAGAGCCAAATTCAAAATTCGTCTTTCATTTATGTTTTCATCCTAATTTTTTTGCTGCCACTGTCTAACCCAAGACAGAAGAGGCATTATGGAAAGAGCATGAACCCTAGAGTCTTATGGCTTAGGACTTGAACACTAGCTCAGCCATCCACTGTGAGTGTATCCATTAAGCAGTATTCCTCATGTCATAGAAATAACATGAGAACTAAATGAGACAACAATAAAACTTATAATATGCCCTAAATTAACGTTAATTTCCCTTGCTTTGATCATTTAAACCACATTGAAAACTATAACCACTTTCAGAATTGCCAACATCTAATAGAAACCACACATTAGATTTATCTAAAACAGTATTCCTTAAATTTTGATGTGAATATAAATGACCTACAATTCTTGTTTCAATATAAATTCTAATTAAGCAGGTCTGGAATGAGGCCTGAGATTTTCCATTTCTAATAAACTCCAAGCAATGCAGATACTACTGGCCCACTGATTACACTTTGAATAGCAAGGTTATAAAGCAGTCTATAGATCAAGCTATAATCTTTCACATCCTTTCCCCAAACTATGAAATCACAGTAGCAATTAAGCATCTTTGTAGTTGAAACCACAAAGCCTTATGTTTTTACCTTAAGCTTTTCATTTAGGGAGGGGAAAAAAAGGAAATCTAACTTCTTTCATTTGGAAGAAAACTTAGATTCTGGACTCTTTTAATGATCATTTTGATTAGGCAAGTTATAAATGTACCTTATCTTCTTAATTCTGGTTCTTTCCCTTGAGCTATTTCAAAATAGAGACGAAATCCATTCAGTTTGTAGACATTTTTCCTGAAAAGAAGGGTGTTATAATCTTTAAAACCAAGTTTTAATATGTGTTAGATCAGTTTATTAGACTTTGTTTTCACTTTAAGGAAATTTCTTTTTTATTTTACTTTTTTAGGACAGGGTCTTGCTCTGTTGTCCGGCTTAGAGTTCATTGGTGTAATCATAGCTCACTGCAACCTCAAACTCCTGGACTCAAACTATCCTCCTGCCTCAGCTTCCTGAGTAACTGGGACTTACAGGTGTGCCACCACACCTGGATAATTTTTTTTATTATTGTTAGTTGTAGAGATAAGGTTTCGCTGTTGCCCAGGCTGGTCTTGAACTTCTGGCCACAAGCGTTCCACCCTCCTCAGGCTCCCAAAGGGTTGGAATTATAGGCTTGCGCCACCATGCCCTGCCAACATTTCTTTTTTAATTTGGAATTCAAATTTACATAGTTGCCGAGTTTGCTTTTTATTGTAACCACCACCCAACTAATGACATATTATCCCATTTTCTTTTCCCTCTATGAATAAGGAAACTGTATCCCAGACTACCAATTCCAATGAGGAAGATTCTGATGCAGAAGAATCTGTTATGACACCAGTGGATGTAGACCTGAACCTCGTTTCCAATATATTGGAATCCTATAGCTCCCAAGCTGGGCTGGCAGGACCTGCTTCTAATCTTCTACAAAGTATGGGAGTGCAGCTGCCTGACAACACTGATCGCAGACACACAAGCCAGCCGGCAAAAGATTAACCAGCACATCCGCCTTCTCTTTTTTCTTTTTAAATAAATATTGAGTCTGATTATGTTCATTTTTCTAGTTTAGATTACTCATTTAGTAAAAATGTTTCTTCATTGCAAGTTTCGCAGGTTGATTTCTCCTCCATGAACCCCAGATGTTGCCCACTCGACACAAGTCTTTCTGACTCAATGTTCACATAGGCTTTTGAAGGATACAATCTGGCTCCTAGATAGCCTCTGAGATGAGAGGATTTACATACTTCATGTTAAGGGCACACCATACCACAATACACCCTTGGTAAAATTCTGAATGTTAATTTCTCTCTTACCTTTATTCATCCTCGGGTCAAAATTCCAAGTTGGAAATTTCTTTCTAATTTTTGTTAATGAGGTATAGTATACTTATGGTTAAGTGCACAAATCTCAAGTATACACTCAATGAACTTTTACATGCATGAACCTAAACCAAGATACAGTACTTACTTGCTTTTTAAATAATAGTTACAGAGGTATAATTCACATATCAAAAAATTTATCTTCTTAAAGTGTACAATTTGCTAGGCGCAGTGGCCCATGCCTATAATCCCAGCCCCCCTCCAGCAACTGAGGGAGGAATTAAGAAAGTTCCTATTTGGGAAACTGCGATCACAAATGATTAAAAACCACATATACCACATTTACCATACCCGCCTCAGTCCTTCCTTTTCTTATTTTACAGCCTTTGTTCAATGAAATGAGCTGAGGGGGAGGGAAGGTGTTACACACTGACTTCAGAAATGCATCAGATGAAAGTTTCTCATTATTATGTAGGGCGTCATTTTAGTAATGTTAACAATTTAACATATTTTAAATATACTTTTGTTTTGGAGATACATTTCACATGTTAAAGTGAGCATCCAGAATGCTAGCCCAGTTTGACTACGAGAAAAAGTTTTCCCCACAATGTACTTGTGGCCCATTAAGTTTCTCTTCATTGAGAATTAGATGTTGGATAGAGAAAGAGTGGTGGACAGGCAAACATAATAAATGAATGAGTTGCTTTTTTATTAGTTACCAGAGTTGACTGACTTCAGCCAGCCTCACTCTGGTGACATACGTTTGTTTTAAGGTTTTACCTGTTGCTATTTTGCATCATGGGCCCAGGGTTCTATTTATCCTTAGCACCTTCATAATTCATTACCATATATATGGTAAACCCTGTACCAGTCTCTTTTATTTATCTGCCATTTTCAGTACCCAGCACTGCAGTCTTCTGCCTAAGATTTCAGATATCCTTGGAGTTCTACAGGCCTTTTTCCCACTCATTGCTGGGAAACAAAGTTCAACGTTGCAGCTTTTCCTATGAGCCACTCTCCTTTTCCAAAAAAACACAGTAATCAAAAAACAAACAGTTTCTCCATGTTAAGTTTGAGAAACTCATAACTAGGACTCCCTCACAACCCTTCTCTATCAGTATTTTCAGATTGGTGATGTGTACACATGTACACACAAACACACCCACATAGAGATAGAAAAGATTGGGAGATGGCAATACACATGGACCCTGAACTGTTGTCTTCTAACCACAAGAGATGAAGAAATCTCAGGATGTCTCTCTCGAGAGTGCTTTTCCCATCTACATGCTGGATTCAGCCCAGGTTATTAGATTGGCAAGCTGCCAATCTAACAAGACAACCAATCCCATCACATTATCCTTCAATGATGAAGGCTCTTTGAGTTCCTCAAAGCAATGATGGTTTGCTAACAATAGAGTAGTGAACCTTTGGAGTCAACAGAAAATTCAGTGCTTTCACTTTTTAGTTCTAGAATCTCTTTTGCTAGTCCTATAGGACTTTGGTGTGTGAATAACCATATGATCTCTGGGGTTTGTGTCTTAATCATAAATTAGTGCCCAGAATCTTCTGAAGATATTCTTTCCCCAGCCATTCTTCTTTTGGACCTCCTCTGCTTTTTTGGTTTTTTCTTTCTTTTTTTTTTTTTTTCTGCACATTGCTTCAGTCATTTCAAAGACTTGGAGCCTGGACTTAAGTGTTTAACTTTCACTCCAATAAAGTGATCTTTCCTCCACAGCCAAGTTCTCACTTTCTAAAAATTTCTCAATTCATAGGACAAAAAAATACATCCGTACAAAGGTATAGAAATGTATTTTATTTTCCCCAAATAAACTCTTCTCCCTATGACAGGGTTTAGAATGGCATATATGGAATCCTAAATTTAGGTTAACCCATAGAATTCAAGAAACAGTTCAGGTTCATGTGCTAATCAACACTTGCTGGAGTGCAAATGCCAGTGACTGTTTTACATTTAGGAAAACAGGCATGGCAAAGTGATAGTCTTTTTCCTGGGTCACAAACTGAACTAGTAACAGAGCTACATACAGCGAAAAAGAACATCTTGAGTCCCACTGGGATTCAACTACCTCAACACAGTTTCATTTGCATCTGATTTATTGCAAAATACTCTGAGGTAGACCTTGGCTGTTACTTTGGTCATTCCTCCAAATGACGTAAATATGACTTTTATTTACCACATACAAGTATGCACTTGTAGATGAATTCAAAAATGTTATTGTGCTATTTTTCTTAATTCTCTAATTCTCTAATTAATACTAAATACTCAATACTAAGATAAAAGTTTTAACCAAAATTACACCAGACACATTTTGGCAATCAGTGTAAACACAACATTAACAAGCCATATACCAGAAGATGTTTGCTTCCAAGGCCTTGGAAAAAATGGGTGAACCTCCAAATGAATGTTTCACCTTTCCCTCTGATTTTGACAGTTGACATCAGTTTTTCTTCTCACACTGGCACTTCTGATGCCCATTAACAGGAACTTCTTCATCAACATTACTGATAGAGGTGTCTTACTGCAGGTTCACCATCTGCTCTGTCTTAAAAAGTTGGCCTGGAGCTGGCCTTTTGTCACTTCCCCTCTGTCAATTGGTCTCTGGTATGATCCTTCAGGGATGTCCTTTTAGGGATACCATGGAGGGATCTAAGTTACTTGATCTGAGCTAAGCAGGCAGGGAAGAACAGGTCTGTTTTTCCACCCATTCCTTAATCAGCCAGTGGGTAATGGTGACCTTAGGAGGCAGCCAGAATGGGAAAGTCCCATTCTGTTGCTGAGTATAGGGGCCCTTTCTCCTGAAGGCTGAGGCCACTTCATCATGACTGAACCAGGCAGCTGCCTCTAATTCTCTTAAGTTCACCTGGATCTGAAAGACATAAAGAAGAAAGGATGTAAGGTTAGGAGCTACAACAGTTAGACTACTACAGCCAAAGACCAAGGTGAGAAAATGGTTCCAGAACTAAGGAACTAGAAGATATTACCTGGGTTCTACAGGTAAGGTGAAAAACAGTTCTATATATTGTCCAGAAGCAAAAGAGGCATAATTGAGAGATGAAAATTAAATAAACTTTTTTAACATTGTAAAAAAAAAAAAAGATACATTCAATCCTGGAAGTACAAATACTAAAATACTGAGTGGTTAACATTAAGGAGTAAATTATGAATAATACCCCAAGTATGAATACTGTTTTTCTTTGTGCCTCTATTGAGTGCATAAATCTTTCAATTAAAAAAAGAACAAGCTGGGTTCGGTGGCTCAGCCTGTAATCCCACGTCTTTAGGAGGCTGAGGTGAGTGGATTGCCTGAGGCCGCGGGTTCGAGACCCGCCTGGGCAACTTGGTGAGACCTCATATCCACAATAAATCAAAAAATAAGCCGGGCGTGGTAGCGCGCACCTGTAGTTCCAGCTACTTGGAGGGCTGAGGCTGAAGGATCGCTGGAGCCCAGCAAGTCGAGGCTGCAGTGGCCGGGAGCAGCCACTGCATGCAAGAAGCAAAGTAAAGTAAACTTCATCTACAGGAAGCTGAGACAGATTAGATATGCTATAAAAACCAAAGCACACAATAGATAGACTTTGGCAGGAAGGGACCATCTGTCAGGGATGCTACAGAAGTACAAGTTGAGGTCGGATAAGACAACATCTAAGTCCCTGTTGACCAGAAGTTACTAGAAATTTATATCATTAGTCCTGACCAACTTGAGCAATAAGACCAATCATTAAATTTTATGTATATATTGTGAGCCTTCTAGATGTAAGATACTTTCAAGTCCTGATGATCTTACTATACATAAGATACTTTCATGTCCTTTGTGTATATATTGTATGCCTACTATATATAATATTTTTATATCCCAATGATTTTATTATATGTAATATACTTTTAAGTCCTGATGACATAAGTGGTGTTGGGAAAATTGGATACCTACAGGCTAAAGAATGATATTGGACCTATCTTTTTTTTTTTTTTTTTTTGAGTTGGAGTCTCACTCTGTCACCCAGACTGGAGTGCAGTGGCCGCTCCTGGCCACCGCAGCCTCGACCTGCTGGGCTCCGGTGATCCTTCCGCTTCAGCCTTCCAAGTAACCGGAATTACAGGTGCATGCTACCACACCCGGCTAATTTTTTGATTTTATTGTAGAGATGAGGTCTCGCCTTCCCAGGCGGGTCTCAAACCCGCAGGCTCAGGCAATCCACTCATCTCAGCCTCCCAAAGGCGTGGGATTACAGGCTGAGCCACCGAGCCCGGCAGTTGGACCCTATCTTACACCATATACAAAAATCACCTTAAAATAGAAGAAAGGCTTAAATGTAAAACCTAAAACAATAAAACCCTTAGAAGAAAACATAAGGAATAAACTTCTAGACTTCAGATTGAACAATGATCTCTTAGATATGACACCAAAAGTACAGGTAACAAAAGTAGACATAGACAAGTAGGACTCCATGAAACTAAAAGCCTCTGCACAGCCAAAGAATCAATCAACAGTAAGAGATAAAATATGGAATGTGAGAAAATATTTGCAGACCATATAACTAATGAAGGGTTCATATTCAAAATTTAGAAAGAACTCCTACAACTCAATACCAAAAAAGTAAATAATGCAATTAAAAATTGGCAAAGGATCTAAATATTTCTCCAACGAAGACATATTAATGGCCATCAGGTATATGAAGAGGTGCTCAACATCACTAAAAATCAGAGAAATGCAGTTCAAAACCACCATGAGACATTACCTCATACCTGTTTGGATGGCTATTATCAAAAATACAAAGGACAAGTGTTGGTAAGGATGTAGAGAAAAGGGAACCCTTGTACACTGTTGAAGGGAATGTAAATTGGTGCACCCACTATGGAAAAAAATATGGAGTTTCCTCAAAAACTCAAAAATAGAATTACCATTTGATCCAGCAATCCTACTTCTGGGTATTTATCCAGAGGAATTGAAATCTATATCTTGAAGAGATATCTGTACTCCTGTGTTCACTGCAGCATTATTCACAATAGCCAAGATATGGAAACAACCTAAATGGTCGTCAACAGATGAACGGATAAAGAAAATGTGGCATACACATACAAGATATTATTGTCTTTAAAAAGAAGGAAATCCTGTATTTGCAACAAGATGGATGAACCTGAAGGACATGCTAAGTAAAATAAGCTAGACACAGAAAGACAAATACTTCATGATCTCACACCTGAAATCTAAAGTGTCAAACATACCGAAGCAGAGAGTAGAATGGTGGCTGCCATAGACTGGAGGTAGGGGGAAATAGGAAGGCGTCAAAGGGTACACAATTTCAGTTATGCAAAATAAGTTCTGGAGATCTGTACACCAAAGGACCTATAATTATACTGTACTGTACATTTAAAGTTTGCACCTCATCTCTACTATAAATCAAAAAATTAGCTGGGAGTGGTAGCACGTGCCTGTAGTTCTAGCTACTTGGAAGGCTGAGGTGGAAGGATCGCCTGAGCCCAGCAGGCCATAAGTGTGCCACTACACTCCAGCCTGGGCAACACAGTGAGACTCCAACTCACAAAAAAAAAAAAAAAAAAA